AAACCAGCTGTATCGATTAAAATGCTGTAAAAACACTTCTTTGACCACTCTAAGTGATTTTATTTGGTTCTTTCAAAACTCGCATCGCTTAAAAACATGTTTTAAGAAAGCTTTTGTAAAAATACTTTATTTTAAGTCGTTTAAAACAATTTTAGAGGCTTCTCGCAAAAATCTTTAAGAGAAGAATCTTTATGCAAGTAGAAAAGATAAAATCATTTTACCTAAGCATTTTGTTTAAAACATACAAAATGATCCATTTTCTTTGAATAAATAAAAGAGACAAACAGATTTATTTAACTATTGGAACCCAAATATATTTACCTTTTGGAATACCAAAATGTTTAATTTTACACTTATTTGAAGTGTGACCTTGTTTCATACAATAGAAGCATGCATTTGGAGTAGCTTTAGAATAAGATACATTATTAACATGACATGCTCTAGTTCCTTTTTCTACCCATATTCTTTTCTTTTTAGATTTACTCTTTTTCAAAGGAACTCTATGATTTACATTATTTTGAGCAAAAACCATTTCATTCTTCCTAAGATCATCAATTTCTTTTTCGGCTTTGTCAAGCAAATGGTTAAGAATATCTATGTCATATTCATGCTCTTTACAATTTGCACAAGCTAAGTCCTTATTCTCATCTAAGCATACAATTTTCGTATTAGCTACCTCCTTTTCTTCTAAACATGCAATTTTCAATTTTAAGGACTCATTTTCCTTTTCCGATTTTCTTAGATTCTTCTTTACTACTTTATATTCCTTTTTCATATCCATAAATGCAGTAAATAACTCATTATAAGCATTTTGTAATTCATCATGATCACTTTCTTCACAAGAGGATGAATCGAATCACTAACCTCAACATCCGAAGAATTGTTGTTATTTGCCATCAAGCAAATGTTTGCTTCAATTTCTGAGTCGCTTGATTCTGAATTTGAATCACCGTCATCCCAAGCAATATATGCTTTCTTCTTGAATTGCTTTTTGCCCTTATGTTCATCATTTTTCTTGTTTGGGCATTCGGTCTTCATATGCCCCGCTTCACCACAACCAAAGCATTTTATATTAACGGAAGAATTTTCTTTTACCTTTCCCTTACCTTTGAAAGGATGTCTTCCTTTTGCTTTCATCATCTTGGTGAACTTCTTTATAAAAAGACTCATCTCTTCTTCATCAATTTCGAGTCTTCTTCTTCTTCTTTCTTATTATTGCTTTTTGAAATCTCGGTTTTGAAAGCAAGGTTCTTCTTTTGATATTGACCCTCTTCCTCATTTAGTCTTCCAAGGTCAAGTTCATGCTCCCTAAGCTTTCCAAACAACGCCGCCATAGACATAGTGGCAAGATTTTGTGACTCCGAGATGGCCGTCACCTTTGGTTGCCATTTCCTATCCGGAGATTTCAAAATTTTAACATTTAATTCATCAACGTCAAAAATTTTACCTAGTCCTGTGAGATGGTTCACGATATGAGTGAAACGTTTTTGTACGTCAAATATCGTTTCGCCTGGTTGCATTCGAACATCTCGTATTCTTGGATTAAAGAATTTTTACGTGCTCTTTTGACGTCGTCGCTTCCTTCGTGGGTTACTCTAAGCATTTCCCACATTTCCGTGCACTTTTACAAATAGAAATTCTGTAGAACTCATCAAGGGTTAGAGCAGATGAAATAATGTTTCTAGCCCTAACATCAAATTGTACTTTTCGACTTTCGTCTGCAAGTCCATCTATCAAAAGGTTTAAGAACGTCAACACCGTTCTCTGTAATTTTAGGAACAAATGGACCGTTTAAAATTGCGTCCCAAACACCTCTATCAACAGTACTCTAAAAATATTTGCATACGTACTTTCCAAAAAGGATAATTTTGACCCGCAAAAAGTGGGGGTCTGTTGATAGACGCACCTTCGGCAAAAGTTTGATTTTGTCCTGCCATTTTCGAAAAGTTTGAATGACTATCAAAGCAAGCTCGATACCACTTGTTAGAATCGCGCAGCTGAATGTTCGCGTGGTCTGACAAAAACCAAGAGGGGGTGAATTGGTTTCTTAATAAAAATTAGGTTTTCAAAATTTTCCCCAAATTTTATCGATTAAAAACTCGCGTAAATGTAAATAGAGAAGAGTAGAGAAGATTACACAATAGGTTTATACTCGGTTCGGATCAAAAGACCCTACGTCCAGTTGCTAATCACTCAAAAGAGGATTAACGCCGTCACTAAGAACAAAGTTGTTACAACACAAATTATAATGAAAAAGATAAAGTTAAAGATAAAACCTCTCTTGAAATCCACAAGAGATGATAAACAGCTTTTCCCTGGAGACTGCACAAAGACACAATCCACTAAGAACTCCACTTAGTGATTCTTATCGCTTCTAGCCTCACACCAAGTTTCCAAAAGCCCCGAAGAACAGCTTTTCCCCGAGACAGGCACAACGACTCAATCCACTAAGAACTCCACTTAGTGATTCTTATCGCTTCTAGCCTCACACCGAGTTTCCAAAAGCCCCCTTTCCTTGCAACAAACAGCTTCTCCGGCACTCACAAGACTTAACTTTTGTATGGAAAGAGTTGTTCTTTAGTTGTTCTCTCTTTTCCGAGTGCCAAAGCAGAGTTTAAGTAGGGAAATTAGGGTTAAGGAATTGGAGATTTCGAAACTAGGGTTCTTGGTAATTGGGTTTTCGAAAATAGGGTTAATTTGAAATTTAAAAACAAAAACAGACTCGAAATAATCGATTAAATGGAGTTTTAATCGATTAAAACAGAGCCAAATACGCAGAACCCAATCCTCTCTGGTTTAATCGATTATTTGGTGAGATAATCGATTATTTGACCTTTTAATCGATTATTTTGATGTTTTAATCGATTAAAACAGTGAGTATATGCTGAAAATGGTTTTCTCACTGTTTTAATCGATTATTTCCCTATATAATCGATTAAAGCCGAGCCTGCATGATAAATTTGAGCATTTTGAAGCTTCTAAGTTACAGACTATGTACCGGCTATCTTAGACTCTATAATTACAGACTCAATCAAACTAAAACAGAGTTATTACAATACAGAAAACATCAATCTTCAATCTTCAATACTCTAAGTCTTTAAGCTCTTGGATCATCATCAAAATCAACATTCTTCATGATCATTATTTGCAACATCAAGTCCTTGAATGTTCAACAGATTAAGACATTGTTAAGGTAGAATTTGAAATTTGCTATGAGATCGTCGGATTGGTGATCACCTCCACATAGTTGTGAGAGGGAAGATGTGTTGGGTTGGGTTCCAAACTATGTGTCTAAAAAGTTCAAATTAGTCAAACTCATTTTATCTTACTTAAACGTAAGTGGAGAAGAGGGTCAGAATAGAGAGGTACTTTTTGTAACCCTTTGGAAGAGAAAAAGAAAAGAATACAATTTTGTTTATTTACCGAGCCGTCTTTGTAAAATTACTATTATGGTTCATGTGGTGACCAGCTCGATTGAGTACAATTAAGAGTATGTGAAATATCTTATATTATGGATCCTGACATGGGTTTCACGCTAGTTAGTCCCATTGAGTTACATGACGATGCAAGAAAAGTCAATGCTAGGTATTCAAGGTTAAGAAATATTTTTGCTCGAGGGGTGATGTACCAATGTAAAAGGGAATCACACTTGATGGAAGATTGTTGAGAATTCAAGTGTGTTTGAAATTTCACATTGGATAAAAATGGGAAAGTTGAGTAACTTATAAATGAGAAAGACTCATAACCTAATGCAAGGTTTTGGGTTGGAAGTGATGTCATTCTTTTATATGGTTGACTTGTGTCCCATTTGTGAGAATCTCCTTGTTGTTAGGCCCCCTCAAATATACTTAACAATCTCGACTCCTAAGCAATGTAATACTCATGAGCGTACTAGAACATGGTATCTTAGTCGATGACTAAAGAATATGAGAGGAGTAAGACACTCAACCACACGGTGGACGCCAATGCTCTATTTAGGAATAAGAGGATTTCAGTCTCATGTCTGTTATGATAGCGTCGTTAGGGTCAATTTCTATATCTGAGGTATGTTGGCAAAATTTGGGTCATGTATATATATGATACATATTTAAATGTGTTAGGGTCATTATTTATTAAGCCAAATAATAAAGTGATCTGACTAAATTAAAAAGGTTTGGCTAAAGGCATATATCATGAAAATAAAATTGTGTAGAGACCATAGAGCAATTTCTAATTTGATGAGGGGCCAAATTTGAAATACTAAAACTTAAGTAATTAACCTAATTTTGGTTATTTTAAGGGGTCATGGTCCCCTTCTGGGAGCACGTAGATAGAACGTAGTTAGAGTCCCGTTCTTTTCTTTCTATCCCCATCAAGAGAGAAAATCAAGAGGGAAATACAGGTGCTCTTCAGGTGGAAGACCATAAGATCAATAGTGCTCTAAAAGAGACATCATCATTATGGCTAATTCAGGTACGCTTTCGCATTTAATTTACAATATGTTTATGAGTACGGGATTACTTTATATTTGATCGTTAGATTGAAGATCATAATTAATTACATTTTACCTAACAAGTGGTATCAGAGTCGTCCATACTTAATACATATTTGTCTTAGAAAATATTTAAGAATTGAAATTAATTTACGGAACCCTTAATCCCTAATTAAAAAACCCCAAAAATTAAGAATTATAGGGTTTCTTAAAACCCAATTCTGTGTTTTGCGTGTGGCATTATCCACGAATTCATGCTTCTGCTTGACCTGGCTCTCCACCACGCTCTTGTCCTACCGAGACGGAATGAAAAACCTGTGATACTATAACTCCAACGTGTCTTCTTCTGCAATCTCTCTCTCTCTGGAACCAATATTTCAGAATTCATAATACAACGCCATCGAGGTTCATTGTTGGGTTGGGGGTGTGAGACGGAGAACTTGCAGAACTCGCTGTGAGGTCCAGTGGTGATCAAGAACTCAACATTCCGGTACTCACGATCAAGTTTAATATCGTCGTCTCGGTGGCCATGCTCGCATGCACCACTCGAGAGCATCCTAACACGCCGATCCGCGAGTGGATCGTTGGGTACGCGCTGCAGTGCCTTGTGCATGTGGTGCTCGTGTGGCTCGAGTACAGGCGCCAGAGTCGGAGAGAATCACTCCGTGCCGCAAGGGACGTGGGGAACAGTGCCCCAAGCGATGTTGGCAACAGCGACGAAGATGGGAGCTCTGGCATCTCTTCTCGCTCCCGGTTCACAAAACGATGTGAATCATTAAATATTGGGGTTTCATTCCTTTGGTGGATAGTGGGTTTTTACTGGGTTGTCTCTGGTGGTGATATGCTTCTGCAAGATGCCCCACGATTGTACTGGTTGTCTGTTGTCTTTCTGGCATTTGATGTTTTTTTTTGCCATATTTTGTGTTGTCTTGGCGTACCTGGTGTCGGGCTTCGCCGACGACGGCGGCGCTGTGAGGCGCGTTTTGCTGGCGCTGTACCACCTCGGGAACCGGTACGTGGTGCACCTGGACCTGGAGGCCTCGGCAGAGGAGCGTGCGGATCTGGTGAGGTTAGATCTTTGGTCTGGAGAGTTGGTCGTAAATCTCCAAGTTATAATGCAAGTGATTCTGAGTCTGATGATTTAAAAAAGGATTATAGTGGGTGTGCACACTAAATTTGATTGCATGTCCAAAATTTTGAAAGTTTGATAGAGTTTTTGAGAAAGTCTGCTGAAAGTTAGCTAGATCATTAGTTAAGGCTAAGATGGGGTAGCATATAGATTTAGGTAAGCATATATTCAATTTGATCTTATTTTTACAATGAGAGGACAACATTGAAGAACAATGTCGCATTTTGTTCAATATGTGTTGTGGTAAATCCTGTGCAGTGTGAAACCACTAAGCAACATTTTAGATAAATCTATTCTTTCTCTCCTAAAGCCCACACATTGCATCAAATGCACAAATTGCCTATGGGGAATGTTGTTGGCAAATTGTAGTTTTGTTATATAATCACTATATTCAATATAAATAAATAATTATATAAATTTGGTTTAGGGTTACCCTTATTAATATATTCAATTTGTTTGGTAGTTTAATATTTTTGTGAGCAAATTGAGTCAAGAAGTTACCAAAGTAACCTCTCTTGAATTGAGTAATTCGTGAAAAATATTAAATATTAGTGTTTGTGTATATTCATGCAAGTATTAGTCGGCCCAAAGGAAGATTAATATTTGACCGAATTACATATACACTTGTAATGATAAACATGTGATAATTATAAGGATTTGCTTTGTCGATGATAAATCAATCCAAAGACTGATTTGTTGTTAGACGTGCTTTATTGTCAATGTTTGATTATTACAACAAGATACCTCTAGCAGTTAATATTACTGTCCAAAGACTTGATATTGATAGTGGATTGGGTGTTTTGAGATGGGTTAAACCATTATTTGAATATATATTTTATTTATAATTATTTATTTTTATAATGTGAGCATAATTAATTTATTTCTTTTGTTCTTAATTCAGCTACAATTGTTTCTGTATCTGCCAATATAAATTCTGTTCCGGTCCTCAATGGAACAAATTTTAAGGACTGGAAAGAGAACATTGATATTATTCTTGGCCGCATGGATATGGATCTTGCGTTAAGGATCGAGCAACCCCTGTTCCTACCGATTCAAGTACCTCCGAACAGAAAAGAGATTATGAGAAGTGGGATCGCTCAAATCGCATGAGTCTAATGATCATTAAGCACGGCATCCCGGAGGTGTTTAGGGGCACTCGTTTCGAAAACATCACAAGTGCCAAAGAGTTCCTTGCTGAAATTGAGCAGCGCTTTGCAAAAAGTGATAAGGCGGAGGCAAACACTCTTCTTCATAACTTGATCTCCATGAAATATCGGGGCAAATGAAATATCGGGGAGTACATTATGAGCATGTCTAATATTGTTTTTAAACTCAAGGCACTAAAGCTTGAACTCTCGGAAGACTTGCTCATTCATTTGGTGTTGATTTCTCTTCCCGCAACGTTTAATCAGCTTTAAGGTATCTTACAACTCGTCGAAGGATAAATGGTCTCTTAATGAACTCATTTCACATTGTGTACAAGAAGAAGAAAGGCTAAAGCAAGACAAGACAGAAAGTGCTCATTTTGCAAGCACCTCTAAGGCTAAAGGCAAAAGAAAGAGATTGGAGGATCCTAAGAAGGAAGCTGCTAAAGGTCCAGAACAAAAGAAACAAACTCAAGAAAACAAATGTTTCTTTTGCAATAAGACTGGACACGTAAAGAAGCAATGTTCTAAATATTATGCTTGGCGTGAAAAGAAAGGGTTGCCTAAACTACCGGAAGCCAACTGATTCTGAAAGATGGATATACTTTGAAAACGACAAATCGGTGGAGATGGAGACTATTGGACATTTTAGATTATTATTGTGTACTCATTTTTTATTTTAGATTTAAAAGATATTTTTGTCGTGTCGTCTTTTAGACAAAATTTGGTTTCAGTTTCTTATTTGGACAAATTAGGTTATTTGTGTTTATTTGGAAACAATGAGTTCAGTTTGTCTTTTAATTCAGATATTGTTAGAATTTTTTTACTTTTGGCTCATGATAATCTATATTTACTTAATATTGTGGTCACCTATAATGAAACTTTTAATATAGAATCTCGTGGTACTAAACTAAAATTGGACTCCCGAACAGTAAGTAGTTACTTCATTGGTTATTCTGAAAGAGCCAGGGGATATAAATTTTATGATCCCACATTAAAAACAATTTTTGATATGGGAACTGTTATGTTCTTTGAGGATATTGAGTTTGGGGGGAAGAATAAGATTAAGAATTTTGTATTGGAGGAAGAATCGACAATAAATCCAGAACCGATTCCAATAGTTACTTTTGATAAAGTAAGTTCAGAACCTCCACAAGACATTGATGATAAACCCCATATTCAAGATGATTTGATTGTTCGTCAAGACCAAACTCAAGATCCTCAAGAACCTGTGCGTCATGAGTCGGGGATACTCCAGTTACTAAGGGAGACAAGTTTAGTCTAAATTAGTGCCCAAAGGGAAATTTGGAAATTGAGGAAGTTTGATGTACGCCCAAGTATGTACGCGTCCAGACATAGCATACATAGTTGGGGTTCTAGGCAGATATTTAAGCAATCCAGGAATGAACCATTGGAAAGTAGCAAAAAGGGTCATGAGATATTTAAAGAGAACAAAAGATTACATGCTCACATACAGGAGGTCAGACCAGTTGGAGATCGCTGGGTTTTCTGACTCGGACTTTGCATGATGTCAAGATAGTGGTTACATTTTCATGTTAGCAGGTGGTGCGGTTTCTTGGCGCAGTGTCAAGCAAACCCTTACAGCTTCATCCACTATGGCAGCAGAATTTGTAGCATGCTATGAGGCGTCAAATCATGGAATATGGCTGAGAAATTTTGCCACTGCAAATTGTGAAAGGCATTGAAAGACCACTTAAGTTATATTGTGACAACAAATCAGCTGTATTGTATTCCAACAACAACAGAAGTTCGACTAAGTCAAAACACATCGACATTAAGTTCCTAGTTGTTAAGGAAAGAGTACAGAGTGGATAGATTTCCATAGAACATTTAGGGACAAACTCCATGATAGCAGATCCTCTAACTAAAGGACTTCCGTCCAAGGTCTTTCATGAGCATGTTGCTCACATGGGTGTTTTACAGTTTAAGGAATTTGTGGTCTAGTGGGAGTTAGTCACTTTCATATATTTTATGTTCTATGTTTAATTTCATATATGTATACATTTATTTTTGGGCATATTTGGTTATCTATAGATATGCGATTTTTTCATTCATTCATTAAGGATATTATATCGATCTCGATAAGTTAAAGTTTGGACCAGTTGAAAATAGACGTGTACAGATCACCTTCACGTAATTTTCATGCTACACATTTCATGATGAATCCATGTCATTTGATTATGTTAGGATGAGTAATCATTGTTGGTTTTAATTGCGATGATGCAATGAAAAACTGCTTTGGTTCTATATCCTGATATGATTAATGGACAGGACTTTTAGAATATGCTAAAGGAATATAATGGAGCTCATAAAGTCTAACACATTTGTAAGGTTGTAAGAACATATATATTTGTGACTAGTGGGAGATTGTTGGCAAAATTTGGGTCATGTATATATATGATACATATTTGATTGTGTTAGGGTCATTATTTATTAAGCCAAATAATAAAGTGATCTGACTAAATTAAAAAGGTTTGGCTAAATGCATATGTCATGAAAATAAAATTGTGTAGAGACCATAAAACAATTTCTAATTTGATGAGGAGCCAAATTGGAAATACTAAAACTTAAGTAATTAACCTAATTTTGGTTATTTTAAGGGGTCATGGTCCCCTTCTGGGAGCACGTAGACAGAACGTAGTTACAGTCCCGTTCTTTTCTTTCTATCCCCATCAAGAGAGAAAATCAAGAGGGAAATACATGTGCTCTTCAGGTGGAAGACCATAAGATCAGTAGTGCTCTAAAAGAGATATCATCATTATGGCTAATTCAGGTACGCTTTCGCATTTAGTTTACAATATGTTTATGAGTATGAGATTACTTTATATTTGATCGTTAGATTGAAGATCATAATTAATTACAGTTTACCTAATAAGGTATTGTCAGTTTTGGAACTTTAGTCCGTCATGGTTTTGTCATTAAAAGACGTCTCGACTGAAAGATATGAGTGGAGCGAGAATTTTGAAACTCTATTTCGGAACTGACGGTGGGTGTCAATGTTCCATTTAGGAACAAGAGTGTTTCGGTCTCATGTCCACTATTATAGCATCATTAGGGTCAATTCTAATGTTAAGGTAATGTTCATTTTGAAACTCTATTTCTCACGATATAACCCTGTGAGGTTAGGCACAACGACCTTATGAGGTCAGACACAATAATCCTGTATGGTTCGACATGATGATCTTGTGTAATTCAACATGACCAAGTGAGGTTCGATATGACTCGGTGTGATTCTCGATATAATGTCTAAAATCATAATGTCATAATTACGATTTTTAAGGTTGAAAATGAGTTATGATGACAGACCTAAGCCTTAACATTCACGACTTGAGGTTGCGGGACTATATGATAGTCAGGTCAAATGACTTGACATAATATTATTGTCAATGATTTATCTAAATCTTAACGTTTATGACTTGAGGTCAGGGGTATATGGTATCCAAATAAATATTTTTACCCTATGACCAATATTCACATTAATCATAACGTGAGATTTCTTTAGAGAACACGATTACAAAAATCTAAATCTTAATTTATTATTATAAATCTCATATAATAAGAATCAAGTTCTCAATCGATACAATAACAAAATAATTAAGTATGACCCAAAAATCATAAATTCAAAATAGAAAAACCTAATTTTTTGCTTCAATAATATTTGTAAATCGAACCTTTATCTTTGATAGGACGGAGAGAAAAAAATATTATTGTTTTATCTTTTTGTCATACTTAATAAATTATAGAAAATATAATCTTGAAATATTAATATAAGGTTAGGGAAAATATGTAATATATTAAGAGCTTAAATAAAAATTTATAATTTTTTGAATAATCACTAAAAAATAAATAAATCGTAACATTGAGTACGAGTATAAAAAC